CCAAGCTGACGCGTGGAGTCTTCCTGCATGTAGGTCAGAATCATGCATTGTGGGGCCTGCGGCTAGCAGTCACTTCTGCCCATTAGATTCATCTGGTCCATTTAGCTGAGACACACTTGGCCGATCCTGGAGAATGCCAGTCAGTCCCACGTTAAGTGCAGCCTGAAGAAGAAAGGGCTGTTTTAACCTGAATCATAAAGTTCATGATCACATGAGTGTATATCAAACATAACCACCATCTGTATGTCAGTGTACAGGTTTTTAAGGTGTAGTCATATGCCAGTATCTGACAGCTTACAAATAAGGTTTAATTTGAGAAATGTGTTTAGCATCTGGACTAATTAAGGGAAAGAAATGATGTGAGAATAAGGGGATTGTGTGGAAAATGATTACAAGCGGATACATTAAAGTAGCACACTAATGATGAGAGAGGGTGTATGGACGGGCTACGTGGCCATACAGCTGCAACTCAATCTCTTTAATTAACAGAATGTATATATTATGGCTTCCTTGTGCTGTAAGTCATGTGTTGATGACTGGATAGCATGACAGTTTTTCGCTCTGAGTGTTTTACACGGATTAATATCTGGCCCTCAAATCGGCGGTGTAATGGGCCTCAGTCCTGCAGCGCTCCGAAGGAGCAATATCACTGCAGACTGGCAGGATTATCGTGTCCAAGCAGACGACACCTGCTTATGGATTCCTAACTACTGTACTAGATATACAAAGGCTCTTAGTTAGCATTCGGAGCTGATTTTATCATCTGATGCAGTTTATTTTGAAAGACCTACTTGTATTTTTAATGTTTAGTTGACCTAGCTTTTGTTAGCTGTACAAATTGAAACACCTGCATTGTAAGAAATACTTCATTGGATTTTTTATTTTGCCTGTACTCAGCTAAAGCATGCATGGCAAGCAGGGGCCTGGAAGTTGCATTTCCTCAGGCTGCCACTGATTTCTTGACATGAGGGTACAACAGATGTGGATGAGGGATGATCACAGAGCTGTGTGCTAAAGGCCTCCAGAGAGGTAGGTGAGGGATGATCACAGAGCTGTGTGCTAAAGGCCTCCAGAGAGGTAGGTGAGGGATGATCACAGAGCTGTGTGCTAAAGACCTCCGGAGAGGTCGGTGAGGGATGATCACAGAGCTGTGTGATAAAGACCTCCAGAGAGGTAGGTGAGGGATGATCACAAAGATGTGTGCTAAAGGCCTCCAGAGAGGTAGGTGAGGGATGATCACAAAGATGTGTGCTAAAGGCCTCCAGAGAGGTAGGTGAGGGATGATCACAGAGATGTGTGCTAAAGGCTTCTGGAGAGGTAGGTGAGGGATGATCACAGAGCTGTGTGCTAAAGACCTCCAGAGAGGTAGGTGAGGGATGATCACAGAGATGTGTGCTAAAGGCTTCTGGAGAGGGATGATCACAGAGCTGTGTGCTAAAGGCCTCCAGAGAGGTAGGTGAGGGATGATCACAGAGCTGTGTGTTAAAGGCCTCCAGAGAGGTAGGTCAGGGATGATCACAGAGCTGTATGCTAAAGGCCTCCAGAGAGTCAGGTGAGGGATGATCACAGAGATGTGTGCTAAAGGCCTCCAGAGAGGTAGGTCAGGGATGATCACAGATCTGTGTGCTAAAGGCCTCCGGAGAGGTAGGTGAGGGATGATCACAGAGCTGTGTGCTAAAGGCCTCCAGAGAGGTAGGTGAGGGATGATCACAGAGATGTGTGCTAAAGGCCTCCAGAGAGGTAGGTGAGGGATGATCACAGAGCTGTCCTCTAAAAGTTTCTTGACATATGGAAAAAACTTGACAATTTGGTCAGAGAGGGGAGTTGGATTGGCAACACAAAAAAGCAAATGTTTCTTCCTGGGTCTTTATTATTGCCTTCATTATTCCTGCATATAAATCTCACCTAATAACCAAAGTAAAAATGGGTTGTTTTAATACCTTATTTGTCCTAAATGGGCATTAACCAGGCTAGGACACCATTTCCTAGCCTGATCCGTTCAGTTCTGTTAGCATGACTTGTGTTTTTATATTGTAAGATGTGAGACACACTTTACACACCAGAGAGCCATTTGCTCCACAGATTCTGTTACAGCTTGGAAGTGAGTGTATGTGGGCTGGTGGTGAGAAGAGTGAGTGACAGGCAGGTAGTTGTTAGGGGTTTTGGATAAGGACCGGAAATGCAGCCTGATCAGAGAGTGAGGGTCAGCTGCATGTCATCTAAAATTCACACTGGAGCACAGCCCTCCCTCGGTGTTTGGAAAGGCCGATGACCTCAAATACCATCCTCTGGGACTGGAAGAATAGGTTTAATTATTGTGGAGTACAGTGACTGAGTGACATTTCCCTTGCCTCCCTGTCTGTCACCGGACACTCCCTAATCCAATGTACATCTCCCATCTTATCGCCGCAATTTCACCATTTTGGTCCCACTCGGAGCACTAAGCTGTGGGTCTGATGACATTGTGTGACTGCTTATGGGCACTGAGAGGGTGGCTTACAAGCTACTCTGTGACCTTGGTGTTGGCTCCATGCCCCAGCAAAAGGACAGATGTATTTTCTGGTCTGGTCATCTACTGCCCTGGGGTAAAATCCCCTCCCCTCCTCCTCCTTCTTGTGGACTGCATTCATGCTGGATTACGACAAACCTCAAGTGGTTCATTTAACAAGATGTTTGATCAGGAAAATGACTTGAAGGATATGTCATCCAGATGACTGCAGTGAGTTTCCTGACATGGGCTGGGGTTACCATACATTTCCCCGGACACGTCCTCTTTTTAGGCCCCTGTCCAAGTGGTTTTCCAGAAATCGGCAGTTTGTCCAGGTTTAGCGCTGCAACCCATATAACCCAATGCTGCAAGTCACAGTGCAGTACCAAGTGAAGAAAAGGGCACCAATATCCAAAGCACGGCAGCCACTGTGCATCATCGCACAGCATTTGCACGATTCGTGCACATGTCTACTTTAAAAATGAAACGATATGTTCATTGCTACATGTCACGCTGCTCAAGAGCGACATCAACTTCCGGAAACCATTGGCACTTTGACTTCATTTTGTGAAATCACGTTGTTTGCTTGAACTTTAACAAACTATAGCTTAGCATGTTGTAACTTTTGTTGAAAAACACTTGTATACACGTTATTAATATTCTGATTCTCAGACACATACTCTTCTCCGTCTCACCAAATAACAAAAACATGGGCCAAATACCTTAAATGTAAATAACATTAAAGTTCAATATGAAGTTTTAGTCTTGTGGATATCTCGGCCTGTTCAGACTCTCCTCCTTGACTACTCATGTCAGTTTAGCTCATTTGCATATCTATTAGGAGTAGAGAAAGCCGTGGGGGCTGTCTAGTGACATGTTTCATGGCTAATTATCAAACAGCACTTATAAATACCAATAATGGCTGTTGTCAAATCTCAATTATTCTTCTCCTTGATGACTGCAGCCCTCTGTGGATCTCATCATACACTAGAGGGGTATCATTTTGTGCCCACTCACAAAGAGAGGAGATTGATGTTCAGTGATTTTCTGCACAGTAGATGTGCTTTAATTTTTGTCTATTACAGTGTTTTTTTACTGATTTTTGCTCTAGTATTGATACCTGAAGCCCATTAATGCTGTCTTTTGAACCAGGCTTGGTAGCTGACCACTCTCTGGTCACGTTGCTCATATTCTAGGCAATGGAGAAGCACTCTCAGTCCAGCTCTGCTCAGTAGATATATTCATTTGGTTTCCAGTGAGTCCAGTACAGTCAACTCAGCCAATTGCTGGAGATGACCTAGAGGTTGTCAATGGTGATGTAGAGGTTCTGGAACCCACATGACATTCTGACCTGACCTGTTCTTATTTATGAATCCTCATATATGCCCAGGATGTCCAACATTGTGGCAATCATAAATGTGAAATATGAGGATATGTCACAAAATGTGCTTGGCACTTTAGAACCACAACCACAAGACTGCATTTTTGTTGAACCTGATTCAGTCAACTTGCTTTTCCAGGTCAGCTTCACCATACTTGGATTTTCATTGAATTTCATTGATACTGTCATGTTAATACCATTTACGTGTGCAGCTATGTGGTTCACATCACGGTTTTCTTCTATCAAATTAAGTTCATCTTGGGTGGTAAGTGAGCTCGATCACCTTCGTTGATATGGAGGCTTTATCCAGATGGCACCACTGCTCTGTATGGCCTACAGCTTCCTGTCAGAGTTGTGCCATCCTGCTCCTGAGCTGTGAGGGCCAGCACCTTATGGTTCATCACTGTGCATCCACTGCAATCTCATCATTATGAAACTAATTACCTTTTAATAGGGCTATTCAAGCAGCAAGCTAAACTGTTCAGCCCTTCCCTGTTGCCGCGTACCCCAGGGGCGCAGCAAAAGCACACAAATAAGTTCAAAAAGCAAAACTGCAGCATCGACAGAATGGCACCCAGTTTGTTTGTTAATGCTCACAGAGGGTCTGTGCTCACATCTGGGCTTCTGCTACGTTCCTGTTGCTCAGCCCTGGCTGAGATGATGACTCAGGACCTTCATCAAGCACAGATGAGAGGGATGACCTTGTGACCGTAACATCTGGCTGAATGCAACATGCAATGCTTTGGTACGCAGCCCTCTGCGAGAAATCAATAGCTTCATTCATAATTTAGGCAGGAGCTATAGGCCAATTTTAGGCGAAACAGAAAGACAAATTAATCACGATGTGACATTTACAGAGCGACTGGAAATAGATGCTGGTCTCAAGGGGAAAACCGTTCATCTCTGTTTGAAAACAGTTTCTGCAATAGAGCCCTCATATATATATATATATATATATATATATATATATATATATATGTGTGTGTGTGTGTGTGTGTGTGTGTAAGAACATATATGTCTATATGTATGTATGCATGTACAATAAAACATATGACATTCTATTAATAGGATCAATAATGGATTTCGTATTGTATGTAAAACATCTAGAGTTTTTATATTTTTCTGTCATAGGTCCTTGTCCTGACTTGAGGAACGAAGGATTCAAGGGCAGGCGTGATGTAGAAACAAAAGGGTGTTTATTGAACTAAATGGGCAGGGACTGAAAACAAACAGGACCGCGGTGGATCACAAACAGACTGACGACCAGGAAGGGCACAGGCAACAGGAACCTTCAGCGTCAATGACCAGACTGGGGATGACAAGCCAAATAGAGACTTATATACAAAGACTAACGAGGAGTAACAAGCAACAGGTGTGGCTCATCAGGCTCACACTAGGGAGGAGACAGGAGGGTCGGGTAGACATGGCAGGTAGGATGTGATAGGTCCTATCCACATTAATCAACAAATTATTATTAGATTTCAATGTATGTCGTCAAAACTGTAACTTCAATTGAGTTTTCAGTCACGCTGATATTTTATTAAGAGGGTTGCAGAGCACAGTTCTTACTTCTCATGGATTTTCCAAGAAAGAGCCAATGTGTTCCCTCTTTACTGGTGAACCAAGAATACATAATAAGGGAATATGTTTCATGTCATTTGGTTTTGTTGCGGTTTTTTGTTCCAAAAACACCCTGGGATTACATCCCTGAGACATGGTAAACACAGAATGCAGTTGATATGCCAGGGTTTGTCCCAGCCTTGTGCCTTATGTTGTGTGGGAAAGGCTCCAGGCACTCTGCTGGATGGGGGGGATGGTCAACTGTGGGTTGTCAAGGGTTTTCAAGGCTAACGACCAAGTACATTTTCACATCCAAGAGAAATTTGGAGGTAAATGTTCCTGGGCTCTTCACTTTTGGTGTTTGTCCTGGAACTTATCAACTCAGAGCACCGTGTGAGTGCTGCAATTAAAAGTCAGTGTCTGAAAACTGGGCCTAGAGTAATGAGTGTTTGGAGGCACGTGGGCTGGTTTTAATCAAGAGGCTTTCACAGCTAATTGGAGACGAGCTGTACGGCTTGTCCAGGGGAGCCACCAACCCCGTGACGCTGCATCCCCCAGGGCTCCATCAGGACCACGCAGTCCAAGCTGCCTTTTTTCCATCTTAATTGCCATATTGAGTTATGTTAATATTTCCCGCTCTTTTTTAATGGGTTTTGCAGTGGCTGATTTGCGCACCCTCGTACAGATTCGACCCTTCGAACAACATGCGGCTAATTTAGCGGCTGCGGCGGCCAACGGGGCTCAAGCCAGCAAAGCCTAATGAGGGAGTGACACGCGGGCGATAAACAAAACGCAGTAGCAGATGACAGCGCGTTGCTCAAGTCGCCTAATTAAAGGCAAATGTTGGTTTTGAAGTTCTGCCATTAATCCTCTGGCAAATGGCTCAGTTTCACAGTCAGAGGAAGGGAAGGAGAGTGGCTGAGGTGAGGAAGGTGTTCACAGTGCACCGTCAGCCCCACCTTTCTCTGCGGGAGGCTGACTCCATGCAACCAAGGCTAAAGCATAGATCTTTGTCCTATAATATCCTTGTTAACCTGAACAAAAACAAATGGAAATGGATGTCTGTGTGCCCTATGGCTTGGTGGCACACCTAACCCTTCAAGAACATATCAGTGAAGATGCAGGATCTGTTCCCTCACTTTCACTGAGGCTCTTCTTTTGGTCCCCGACAGTAGGAAAAGTCACCTATGCGACGGCTGCCCCAATTGTTCTGATGAATGTATCTAATCGTTGAGTTGACAGGCTTCTGGAGGCCAGGACAGATAGCAAGCTTTCATCACTGTTGTCTCATAGACAGAGAGCCGTGGGTGGTAGGCATTCCTGACGGCTTCTAACCGCAGCCCTGCATGCCGGGTCCGTGGAGCTGAAAAACCCCAGGAGACCGAGCTTTCTGGGCCTGAAAGCTTGGCCTCCTCATGAATGCAGAGCGAGCTGCGGGCGGCCGCCGCTTGGCAGGGCTCCTCTGCTGAGTTGAGTTCAGCCTGACGTTGCCGTGGAACTTTCTCTCTCCTTAGATGCGACAGCATGAGAGAGAGCTGATAGTGTCACGACACAGCCATTTGAAAGCTCTTTGCACAAGGCCAGCAGAATGCTCCGTAACCTGCGGCGCAGTCCAGGGGGAATGCTTGGCAAAACTACTTAGCTCTCTCATAGCAAAGTCCTCGTAAATCAACCATTTATCTTGAAGCTGGGTTGAAGAGATTGGAGAAACGGCAAAAGAGAGTCGGTTAGTGTGGCCGCCTCTCCTGAGGCCGGCCGACTCCTGCCTGGGGGTTCCGGAGCACCTGCTATAGCAGAACGTACACAGATGTTTCTCCATTTCTGCCACTTAGGGTTCTTCGCCTTGTCAAAGAGATTCCCTTTGACGGCGCTCCCCATTTGAAGGGGAAACTACTCTACCAAAGCTGCCATTCATTAGCAAACACACAATTAGTCCTGACACAAAAGAGAACTATTTAATGCTTTAGATCAGGAGCTGTGCTGCCTTATGGATTCACACACCCTGCATCAGTGATTCAAACACAGAGAGGAAACCAAGAGTTCCCTTCTCACTGACTCTGCCTCCAACTTGGTTCTGTTTATCAATAGGCTTGAATGATGGATTAATGTGTCTTTCACATTATGTATTTGTTTATGTAAATGGATTTCAGTGCCTTAATTACATCTCAATGATATTCTTTTGACACTGATAATTTATGTAAATGTATTTATGCGGTGCAAGTTCAGGCTAACATCTCATTTTTTAAAAGCTTGCTGAAGGCAGCTGTGGAATCTTAAGAAAAGGCAAGATCTGAAGCTGTGACTTTCAGTATAGCCTAAAACAGCAGAGCCACCCATAACCGTCCCGCATTCCGTTATTAGCCTGGAAACAGCGGGGAGACCAGTCACCCTCCTGCACCCCTTTATGAGCACCGAAGAGCTTCTGTAATTCTCTCCGTCTCCTTAGCTCCGATCAAAAGATCTCCTCTAATTTCAGGTGAGACGTTCCGATGCGCTGTCAGCTCCAAACGGCTCTAAGTAATGAATGATAAGATAGAGAACGTAAGCAGTAGGAAAAGAAGCTGCAGGTGCACTTTACTTTGGCAAATTTCTAACAGACGCCCAGCACTACGCGGGTGACGACTCTCACTCAGCCTTTCCTGGTTATCTGGGAGGTTCTCTCTTTCCCCTGCAGAGAGGAAGCTTGTTTGGACATCATTAAGGGCATGTAAGTACACAGAAAAACACTCAAAAACTAATAGCTGTAGCTTTTCCGGATTCTACAGTCTGGAAAATAAATAAAATGTGTAATTAGATGTAAAAAAAATCATGAATCATTTTGCAGCCATTCCTCTGTGTTAATTAACATGACCACGATCCAGAGCGACATAACATTAGAGGCCTCAACAGGGCACCATGACCAGCTTACCAGCAAAGGGGCCAAAAGTAATAGCCAGAACCCTAATATTGTAAAGCCTTGCAAATTTATATCGATACACTACAATTAATAGGGACATAAACTCTGAACTAATAATAAACATAACTGACCTCAGTTCTATGGTGGTCAATAATAATTCATGTTTTTAATATAGCTTCATTGATTATGTATATACTGGCATTTTCAGTGGCAGCTTAAATGCCAGGTGCGACCATGTTCTTCATAATGGAATAGAGGTGAATCCAGAAAATCACTGTCTTTATGAAACAAATGCCCTTCATAAGCGCCGGCATTTCTCAGCTATCAGAGTGTATTAATATTCATGTGAGCCGCGATTCCTTTATAAATCATTCATGGCTGTGTTGTGATTAACAGCCCTCATTAGGGCACCAAAACTGCAATGTAATCACTCCCATCAGGAAGGTTTGTGTGTGAAATACACATGTTATACTAGGGATGTGGTTGGATAAAGACAGGTTACCTGTTACTGGTTAAAGGTTAATTAGCAGGCAAAGGGACCAAGCTTTCTGAACTAGGGGTGCACAACAATTAAGGAATGGTCCTCTTCTCTCAGAAGTTAGGCCTCTGTAAGATGTAACAAACTAAGACCATACCCTTGTCTCTGAGGAATTATGGTATTTTTTTTTTATAATTGCACTAACAATCATCTTTGAAGAATTCCCTAAGCTTTTTTTTGGGGGGGGAGGAAGGATTAGAGCAGAATAAGTATGTATGTTGTCTTTAATCTTCAATTAACATAGCATAATGTTAAGGAGCACTTTGCGCACAGATCTGACACATCGAGCATCATTTCGACCATGGAAGGAAGAGGCTGTATCCACTGTAGACCACTGTATGCCGATTTAGATTTTTTTAGAATGACCTTATAGAATAGAAGTCCATTTTTATCTTATCTTGCCATGGACATATGTGAGAGACCTGCATCTCCAGCCTAGTTCCTCGTTCCATCACCTAGGACTCGAACCCGCCACTGATGTTCTTGTCACTCCACTGTTATGTGTTTTGTCAGTGATTATCTAAGATTGTCTTTTGAATGGAGGCTCTATAAGCTTCACCTCCCCCCCCAATCTGAGCACCGCACTGCCGGCAACACCTCCACCCATCCAGAAGCCCCCGCCATTACTGGCAGATTGATGACCACCCTGAAAGATGAGAAATGGTACAAATTAATGTTTGTTTGAAGTGAAGTTCGACTGCAAGTGGAATCATTGCAGTGAAGGTCATCATCTAGTATAGATGTTTCGATAGCTGCTTAGAAATACATTGTTTAGATAAGACAGCTAAATAATAATAAAAGACACACACACACACACACACACACACATAAAATCAAGAATGATGTGACCCCCCTCAGATTTCATCTCCTTTCTCATGAGTGATTCTAATTGTTTGGTCTGGAAATATCAATGAACTTGGAACAGTTGAATTTAACAGCCTGGTTTTCACCAGGAAACAGCCTAGAGGCGATCAAGTGTGCTATTTTCAATATTGTACATATTAAAGTGAAAAGACTTCATCCCTGCTGTTACCCCAAAGAGCCAAATGGTAGCTTGTGCTTTTCAGCAAATTATTTTCATCTGCCTACATTTGTGCTTGATATTTATAGGCAACCTCCCCTTAAGTAAAACTTAGGCAGAAAGAACGTGAGTAATGTGAGTGAAGAGAACCTTGAGTAATGTCACACGTTTACCAAATGTAGATGAGATGCGGAATGAGGATGCTGGTCAGTCTCTGTGTTTTGAATTCCTTGACCAGCCTGTTCCTCATGCTAAGGTGACCACTTAATCCATGCCAGAAGGACACTATGAGCTACTTCAGATTTTACAAACTACTTTAATACTAATGCTTGGCTGAATTGTTTGGTCCGTCTTATACCTTTACTGGTTTGTTTCCTTGATTGAAAGACTAATCCAGGAGTTTCACATTAACATTAGCGACACATTCTTGATTGTAGGAGACTGACCAATCTGGAGGCAGCAAGAACTCAGTGCCTGAAATCTGGTTCCTTTTAGTTGAAATGGTTGAAATGGTAGTTTATAAATCCTGTTGTAGCCCTGCCTTTAGGAAGATGTGCTGTCATTTCTCTACCTATTTTGGTTATACCTTGACATTAAGAGAATAGAAATGAAACACTGTTGCAGTTTTCCCTCTCACCAATGCACATTCAGTCTTTGCTTCTCTTCCTGCATTTTATGTAGCATTGAGTCCTTCAGTTTGTGCAGCGGCTGTGTACATCTGGCTCAGCCATGGTAATGAATAACTGTGTACCAGATGCAGGGGAAGCCAGGGGGGGATAATCATGGTTATATCTGGTGTAATTCAGCTTTCATCAATAAGTTACATATTATCAGAGCCACCTGAACACCAGGGGTGGACTAACAACAAAATGCAGCCCGGAAATTTCCTGCCAAGTGGCACCAATTTGATATTTTGTCACCCTGTTTCAGTGGGTGGGGAATTGGGGGGCGCGTGGTCCCCCTTAATATACTTTGCGGTTGATCAAGGGTTGGGGGAATCCCCCTTGGTATTAATTGACGGCAACCTGGGGCAGTCATTTGTATATTTTGCGAGCATGATCACCGACCTTGAGGAAGATGCACTGGCCCTCACAAGATAAACCCACTGGGACATTTCCATCTCCAGCCACTAAGCACCTGTCTTCTCATTTCTTATATGAAGCATGGTCTCTTTCCTTTACTCACAGAAATATAACAGGATTCCATGTTTCAGAGCTGTCTTTGTGCTGCTTCTTATAATCAATAAAGTTTTGCTAGTTTTAAGTTAAATGTCTACAAAAAGGTGTCCTACAGAAAATGTAATTGACATTTTAAGTCGTTTTACTACTGTTCTGAGTCCTTAGGAGCAGTTTTGTGGCTGCAGTTTGCACTGTGGGTGAGATAAGCCTTGAACAAATCTAGGCTTCCCTGTTTCAACAAGCAAGTTTAACGCTGCGTGCTGTTCAACACCTTCAGCTTTGCCGGCTGGCCCTCCGAAGACCTGACCAGGACGGACAAGTGAGAGCCGGCTAAGCGCTAGTAGGAGTTTTACTTAAACAAAAATGTTCCGAGGGCAGAACGAAAAATGATTGGTTCAGAGAGATAACCAATTAGATTGTAGATCACATGGGTCCAAGCAACTAGAAGAGGTGGGACCAAGACATCAGATTGATTGGTCCCCCCTCCTCTGGTTGCTTGGACCCACCTACTCTACGTAAAACTCCAATGAGTGACTTAAGCAGACTTATCCATTATGAAAGGACAGAATGAGCTTTCAGAAGAGACACATAATAAAACCATTCCAAGCCCATGTTTTGGAACTACATGTCATGTCATCCTAGGCAGCAGACGGCTTGACCTGGGATACGGCCTTGATGGAATGTGAGCTTTATCCATCTCAGCTATGCCTTCTTTCTCGACTGGTTTCAACCCAACGCACCTCCCTTTGCTCCAGTGCTTCTCTTGTCCTTTCTAATTTGCCAACAACCTGAGAAACCTGCTTGCTTCTTTCGAGCTATTATTCAGGAAAGGAACTGGTTTGAATGTGTCCACTCCCACAAACCATTTCACCAGCCAGGGGGAGGATGGGTTTCAGAGAGACAGTGCCTCAAGGTTTGCACACCTCTGCCAAGATGAGAAGCGGCCTTTACTCTCATTGCAGTTTCTCTACATTAAAGTCAAAAGGACAGAAGCATTTTTTTTTTTTAAACATTAAACAACAGGTGGCGCTGGTGCAGAGGAAGATGTCTTATTATTACAATAAGGTGGTGATCTTGATCGACACGCAGCTCTCATAATGTCAGTATATAACGTTGCTCACAGAAAGTCTTAGGATGCTTGCTTAATTCAGTCATATATTGCAAACTGGTTTTTATAACAAAAATCATAACTTCTTTCATTTGTTTACAAAAATATATATCATTAGTAATAAACTGTAATAAACTGAAACCAAAAAATAGTAAACGAGCTGTTCTGAGTTTAAAAGTTCATTGACAAGCATCATTGGGTGCTTTGTAATTAGTAATGCCTTAGCAATAACATAAAACACCAAACATTTGTGTTTAGTATCTCTTTAGGGGCCAATGACTACATTTGCAATTAACAGCAAAATGGCAAGAACAGAATTGAAAGATCACGTTTAAAAAAATATGATACTTAATAAAAAGAAAATATCCCAGCAGAAGATATGCGCAAATATGTTAAACATTGCTTGTCAATGGACTTTTGTTATGAAACCAATAATTTTGCAGCACTTTTACAGAATTAAGCAAGTGTCCAAAGACTTTCTGTGAACACCGTAAAACCTCTGACACCTCAGGATAGTTTAGGGTCTGCACACACTGTGGTGAACCTTTGGATCATAAGCTGTAGAATATCCCCGCTCTCATCATTAAATCATTAATGCATGAGTCTACCTTCCCTCGGCTTTTGCTCAGAGATTCGAGCGCTCTTGGATGCACGTCAGGTGGTGCTTCCATGCATGCTCGCAAACAGCTCTTTCTAATAGATTCTGTTTGAAACTAATCTCTGTAACTCTAATCAGAAATGAATGAATTTAACCTTACTGCTAAACAACGGCTTGTCCTTAATTAAGACATGGGAAACACTAGCGGCTGAGAAGTTAAATTCGAGTGTGTTTGCAGTGAGTGCCAGACATACCATTTTTTACTAATTACAGACACTGGTCTCCAGCTGCTTCATTTGAAGTCAGTGTGGAGCCATCAGAGACCAAATGCTTTCACGGACTAGCAGG